GAGAACACAGACCTCACATAACTTGCCCAGGAGAACACAGACCTCACATAACCTGCCCAGGAGAACACAGACCTCACATAACCTGCCCAGGAGAACACAGACGTCACATAACCTGCCCAGGAGAACACAGACCTCACATAACTTGCCCAGGAGAACACAGACCTCACATAACCTGCCCAGGAGAACACAGACCTCACATAACCTGCCCAGGAGAACACAGACCTCACATAACCTGCCCAGGTGAACACAGACGTCACATAACCTGCCCAGGTGAACACAGACCTCACATAACCTGCCCAGGTGAACACAGACGTCACATAACCTGCCCAGGTGAACACAGACCTCACATAGCCTGCCCAGGTGAACACAGACCTCACATAACCTGCCCAGGTGAACACAGACTTCACCTAACCTGCCCAGGTGAACACAGACCTCACCTAACCTGCCCAGGTGAACACAGACGTCACATAACCTGCCCAGGTGACCACAAACCTCACCTAACCTGCCAAGGTGAACACAAATCTTCATTTAACTTGCTCTGGTGAAGCCACCACCTAAGGTGCCCGGGTGAACGAGCAGTGCCACCTGCCGCCCAGGAAAACTGCGACCAAGATTGTGATGAGATGGGTAGTGAAGCGAGACGAGCGGAAGTGGCACCCTGAGTGCCTTCCTGGCCAGGATGCCACACTCAGATTCCAGATGTTGAGAACACAAACATAACAACTGCAGAAGACGGAGGATCAAGCCTCCAGAGATACTTGTAGCAAAGGGAATGAGATTCGTGCTTGTTTTAGTGTCATTCTACGTGCTTGCTTGCACTCTCTTAAACTCTTTAAACTTGCTTACTTAGCCTATACTACTCAGCCTGTATTTCTCAGCCTGTACTTCTCAACCTGTACTTCTCAGCCTGTACTACTCAGCCTGTACTTCTCAGCCTATACTACTCAGCCTGTATTTCTCAGCCTGTACTTCTCAGCCTGTACTACTCAGCCTGTACTTCTCAGCCTGTACTTCTCAACCTGTACTTCTCAGCCTATACTACTCAGCCTGTATTTCTCAGCCTGTACTTCTCAACCTGTACTTCTCAGCCTGTATTTCTCAGCCTATACTACTCAGCCTGTACTTCTCAGCCTGTACTTCTCAACCTGTACTTCTCAGTCTGTACTACTCAGCCTGTACTTCTCAGCCTGTACTTCTCAGCCTGTACTTCTCAGCCTGTACTTCTCAGCCTGTACTTCTCAGCCTGTATTTCTCAGCCTGTACTTCTCAGCCTGTACTACTCAGCCTGTACTTCTCAGCCTGTACTTCTCAACCTGTACTTCTCAGCCTATACTACTCAGCCTGTACTTCTCAGCCTGTACTTCTCAGCCTGTACTTCTCAGCCTGTACTTCTCAACCTGTACTTCTCAGCCTGTGCTTCTCAGCCTGTACTTCTCAGCCTATACTTCTCAGCCTGTACTTCTCAGCCTGTATTTCTCAGCCTGTACTTCTCAGCCTGTACTACTCAGCCTGTACTTCTCAGCCTGTACTTCTCAACCTGTACTTCTCAGTCTATACTACTCAGCCTGTACTTCTCAGCCTGTACTTCTCAGCCTGTACTTCTCAGCCTGTACTTCTTAGCCTGTACTTCTCAGCCTGTATTTCTCAGCCTGTACTTCTCAGCCTTTACTTCTCAGCCTGTACTTCTCAGCCTGTACTTGTCAACCTGTACTTCTCAGCCTGTGCTTCTCAGCCTGTACTTCTCAGCCTGTACTTCTCAGCCTGTACTTCTCAGCCTGTATTTCTCAGCCTGTACTTCTCAACCTGTACTTCTCAGCCTATACTACTCAGCCTGTACTTCTCGGCCTGTACTTCTCAGCCTGTACTTCTCAGCCTGTACTTCTCAGCCTGTACTTCTCAACCTGTACTTCTCAGCCTGTGCTTCTCAGCCTGTACTTCTCAGCCTGTACTTCTCAGCCTGTACTTCTCAGCCTATATTTCTCAGCCTGTACTTCTCAGCCTGTACTACTCAGCCTGTACTTCTCAGCCTGTACTTCTCAACCTGTACTTCTCAGCCTATACTGCTCAGCCTGTACTTCTCGGCCTGTACTTCTCAGCCTGTACTTCTCAGCATGTACTTCTCAGCCTGTACTTCTCAGCCTGTATTTCTCAGCCTGTACTTCTCAGCCTGTACTTCTCAGCCTGTACTTCTCAGCCTGTACTTCTCAGCCTGTATTTCTCAGCCTGTAATTCTCAGCCTGTACTTCTCAGTCTGTACTTCTCAGCCTGTACTTCTCAGCCTGTACTTCTCAACCTGTACTTCTCAGCCTGCGCTTCTCAGCCTGTACTTCTCAGCCTGTACTTCTCAGCCTGTACTTCTCAGCCTGTATTTCTCAGCCTGTACTTCTCAGCCTGTACTTCTCAGCCTGTACTTCTCAGCCTGTATTTCTCAGCCTGTACTTCTCAGCCTGTACTTCTCAGCCTGTACTTCTCAGCCTGTACTTCTCAGCCTGTGCTTCTC